CAATACATGGACTGTATGCCTCGGTGGTGGTGGACATACTGGGAATAGAAAACTTGAGGAGTGGTTTGTGTGTTCTCCAATTATCACAGGGTATAATATGGAGTGTCATTCTACCAATTACAGGTAAGTCATTGATATTCTCTACCATAAGACAAAAATAATAAAGTGCTATGTTTTTTAAAAGCTGTTTTACTTGTGGTTAGAAGAATACATAATTTAAAGAAAATGCATAATGTTTCTCTTTTCAGGGTATCTTCGTGATGCCTCGGGGGATTACCTGTTAACTTACCATTTTGTAGGGTCATTAACCATAATTGCTGCTTCAGTTTTATTTGTTAGCCATTATTGTGTAAAGAGGTCACCAAACAATACGGAAGTAGACGTTAAAGAAGAAGAAACTTGATATTTCTTTTTGTTTTCTTGTTGTTCGTTTACTTTTTACCTCTTTTACTAATAAAAACTCTTTCATCTTTAATATATGCTTCTGTATTGGAATTATTAAAATTTTGCATTTTGTTTATCAGTTGTGATTTTTTTAGTTATTTTATAACTATTAAGGTTAATAACTTTTTAGCTCATCTGAGCCGAAGGCCCAAGTGAGCTTTTCTGGCCACATTTTGTCCGGCGTCCGCCTGTCTAGCTGTCCGTCTCTCTGTAAACTTTTCACATTTTCGACTTCTTCTCAAGAACCGCTAGGCCATTTTCAACCAAAATTGTCACAAAGCATCCTTAGGTGAAGGGGATTCAAGTTTGTTCAAATGAAGGGCCACGCCCTCATTCAAGGGGAGATAATTGGGAAATAGTGGAAATTTAGTCGCATGTTTTAAAAATCTTCTTCTCAAGAACCACTGTCCCAGGAAAAATGAAACTTATGGGGAAACATCCTCAGGTAGTGTAGATTTAAGTTTGTTCAAATCATTACCCCTGGGGTAGGGCGGGGCCACAATGGCCGATCAAAGTTTCACATAGAAATATATAGGAAAACTATTTAAAAATCTTCTTCTCAAGAATAACAAAGCCATGACTGATCATATTTATATGGAAGCATTCACAAGTAGTGTAGATTCAAGTTTGTTCAAATCATGACCCCCGGGGGTAAGGCGGGGCCATAATGGCTGACCAAAATTTTACATAGAAATATATAGGAAAATTCTTTAAAAATCTTCCTCTCAAGAATAGGAAAGCCATAATTGATCCATTTACATGGAAGCATCCTCATGTAGTATAGATTCAAATTTGTTCAAATCATGACGCCCGGGGGTAGGGCGGGTCCACAATGGCCGATCAAAGTTTTACATTGAAATATATAGGAAAATTCTTTAAAAACTATCTTCTCGGGAATACATGTAGCAAAGCCATGATTGGTCATGGGACTACTTTTGGATTTAAACTTTCTAATAATAAATCAATTTAAACTTTTTCCAAGCCACAATGCTCGGGTGAGCGATGTTGCCCGTGGGCCTCTTTTTTGTATTCGTGTAGTATATTATTTACACTATTATACTATAATACCATGAAACATGAGGATAACGAACAGTAATCATATCTAATAAAGCAGTACAACTTGGGTGCAGAGCAAGCATTGTCAGAAAAACTCAGAGGAGGGATCAAGTGTCATAAAGGAGTAAAACATGCAATATAATTAGAATCATTTCCGGAAAGAAAACCATGAGCTCATTTCAACATTCTTTTGAAAACATGTGTCATGCTTTGGAGGAAACAAGGATTGCAACATGATAAATTCTTTTGTTTATTTTGAAAGGAAAATGTAACTTGATACTGTTTTTAATTGTTCTAAAAGGAGATACATTTTTAAGAGATTCGTAATAAATATTCTACCTTTCAAAATATTCCCATTATATAAAAGATTTCCTCTTCTTACATGTCCAATAAATTTAAGATCAATTTCAGAAGTCAGTAGCAAAAAAAGTTTTACATTTTACTTTTGATGTTATTCTTCACCAAACAACAAGACTTCTTATGATTATCCTAAGCTAAGACGTCTTAAATCATTATGACGTAGAAATACGCATAGCTTTATATCATTGACAGGAATCAGAGATAGTTGTCAGTATTGTTAAATAATGCTACACGTTATGTCATCATAATGAAAATATTTAATAGATATAAAAATAAAAAAATAAGAGTCTGATTTTTGTTAAATTTATAAACAATATATATATATACATGTATTTTTAATTATTAATCATCTTAATTCGACAATATTATACAATTATTGCTGTTTTTTGAGGTCAATACCATGACTTAGCCATCTGAGGAGTACAATATTCACCGAGCCCGAAGGGCGAAGTGAATATTGTACTTCGAAGAAGGCTAAATCATTGTTTTGACTGAAAAAAACTGTTACAGCAATAATTGTTTTATTATATGATTCACTGATACAATGATACGGCTCATTACTTTTTTGCATTAAATATATACATATATATGCATAAATAATATGCCTCAAAATCAATTTGAAAACAAAAGCCCTTAAAATTTAAAAAGTAGGTCACCGTGACCTACTTTTGCATTATTAAATTGCTTAGTGTAAATACAAAGACTATTCTTCTTTTATCATGTGCAAAACATTGTTGAGGAGTTTACAAAAAGAAGAATTCTACTGGGGAATCTTTCCACTCTTTATACGTAACTCTTTTCGGTTTCTCGGGCTTTTCCATATTTCTTTGCAAGAATGGGACATACTGTTATATATCACTAAATCCATGTGATCTAAGAGGAACAACTCCAAGTAAAAAAAACTTGCACTTTACACTACTTTAAGAATTTCGTTATATGCTGATGAAGTTTACACACCGATAAATTTCCTCCTTCCTCAATTTCTTCCCTTCTACACATGTGAACAAGTAATAAACCAGTGACAGTGTGACAATTTTGGGGTAATTACCCGACATAAAGATGTTTCCTCGAGAATCACTAGTGATTACATGGTATTTGTTGCCTTTTAAGGACAACTGTAATTAAGTGTCGTGTTTATCTCTTAAAGAAAAAGATCCTTTGTATAACATACTTCAAGTTCAAAATATCATCTCAGAGTTTCTAAATACATGACAGGGAAAAGTGTTAATGTGTTTAGGTTTTAATTAATGGTCTAATTAAAGCCATTAGCACAATGTATTAGTTTCTTTTAATTCTTTTTGATACTACCCATTAAATATAAATTGACGGCTTATTTGATAAGGTATTTAAATTTTTGTGTGTTGAACAGTTGAAAGTTCTTAAAGGTTGTAAAATCATACGGTAAGATTTCTGCAAGCTTGTGATGCGATGATATTCAACATCTTTGTATTGCTAAAATACAATAAATAAATGGAATATTTTTTTCTGAAAAAAATGTTAAGATTTGTAAAGGTAAAATATATGTCTTAAACTGTTAATTGTTCAAGTTCGTGAGTATATTTTTGAGCCAATTTTATAGTCATTAGATACTCAAAGATACAGAGAACTGTAATGTGAGACTATATAATCAGGAAAAAAACTCCATGAATTTTCATAAGTAAATATTTTATTGAGAGCTTCTTATTAGGCTTCTCTTGGAAATATGTGGTGGGAGGGGAATGTAATTAACTAATAGCAAAGGAATTTGAAAAATCTAATTAAGTTCACTAGTCACGATTTCCCAGATATGTTGAAATATTCTATCATTGACGAATATATCAACAAAAAATAGTTTGAGGTACAGATTGACTGTTCTTTGTTTAATTGATAGCTAACCTACAGATAAATAAATACTCACAGTAAATATGTACGTTTAACGAGGCCCGATCTAGTTGAATATTACGAAAACGGAATGATAAAAAATTTTAATTCTTGGAAATATATTTGTATATTTTATGCTTAGCAAAATTAGAATGAAATTTTGTTACCTTGCCTTTATTGTAGTCAAATGGGGACACTGTCAAGATATGGACCATTTGTCGTGTTTTTATACACAATCACAAATTTACAAATTTAAAAAAATACATGATGAAAATCTTTGTTTTTTACATATATCATGCAATTTTCATTCTTCTTATAAAATATGAAAAGAAAATTGGAGGTAGCCTTTATTGCAGTGAAAAGGGGGCATGTCAAAACACAAAATTTGGATTTATTCTATCCAACTACGTATTTTATAGGTCGCAATGGGTTTACATAACACCATCAAACGATAGCAATACTGTATTAGTTTCTAAAAAATAAATAATTCTTACATTATGAAATAATTTTCTCGCCATGCTTTATTTTTCTCTTAACACGCGACGTTGTTTTACGTGGAAAAAAGGGGTAGAGGAAGGAGGTGGGGGGGGGGGGTAAAGACAACAAAATTATGATTTTTACTTATATCATGTAATATATAGAAAAATAAAATATTTCGGGGGTCGCATTTAAATGATTTATAGACTTATTTCATTTTTTAAAACTGAAGATAATCCATGCATTTTAAGTCCGCAGTAAAAAGAGTGTGTATAAACACTTTAACATATTCATAGAGAAAGATTAAAATCGTTTACTTTTGGTTGCAGTGTTTGATTTTTTTTTTTAACTCACAAATTGAAATAAATCAAGATAAAATTAATGAATCTGTACCAAAAAAAATGATCCCTCAAAATTAATCAGGTTCCAAAGTTGTTTATTATTTAAATACTTAAGAAAAGATAATAGAAATGCAAGCTTTCAATGCACAGTCTATAGAGCTACTAGGTATGCAAGATCAGCGAAACAGTTTAGCGCAATTTGACGTCATTTTAATTGTGACGTTATTGTGTTCAATTGTGACGGCAGTCAAGGATATTGTGACGTGTCTGAGTGGACGCTGCGTTAAAACGTATGCGCAGATCAAGTAGATCGGGCCTCGTTAATTTATTCTTGGAAAATTTTATCAGGATAAGATTAGTATAGACAATAATTCAAAACAAGTAATCAAAGTGGTTTATTTTAAAAATGTGTTTTCATGGTTTTGCCTGATTGTTACATGCATCTAAACATGAGCCAAAAAAGTTTTTGTTCAAAATGAGCATTAAGTATTTAAATGAATAAAACTGATTGCAAAAATCGACCTTGAAAAACTCATTAAGTATGACGTTCAAAATTCATCACATCGACAGACATGACCATGCATTACCACCCATTTCTGCTTGATAAAATTCCTTTAGTGTAAAGGTTTTAGTATGAAAAACATCTGAATCCACACTGAGCATTCAATTAAACAAACAACTGACCTGTCATTAACCTATACAATCTCAATATCAAAGAATAGCCCACATCCAGAAGCTTCTGAGACCTCATAATGGAGACAATTAAAATCTCGTGTCTTATGAAAGCTAGTTATGAACAGTATTAGAAAGTATTTTTCTATTCAGATAAACTGATAAAATTTACAATGTATTAGGTATTTTGTACTTGAGAAAAAACGAAATTGGAATTTAACATCCATTTGCATTATCAATATATAAAGTTCTTCTGCTTCTGTCAATAACTTTAAGTCCATGGTCAGCAAGCAAGCTGAATTCTGAGGGAAAG